AGAAGAGCAGCCAAAAGGAGGAAGAGAAAGAAGAAAAGTCAGTGCAAAGACATCAAAAGAGCTGTGACTTGAACAATGAGGGTGGAGGAGCATGGAAAAGGCCGTGAGGAGCACTCTCCACAGGGATCACACTCCATTCACACCAGGATCACACTAAGGTTAAGATTGCTTTTCCAGCTCCATTTCCACCTTCATAGTATGTAACCAGTCACTTTTCTCATCACTACAGAAAGCAGACCCTTTTGTCCTCACATGCTCTAGGAAACTTCTGATTGAGGTCACATGGTCCACACAGGGAGGTCCTTGTTCCTGTCTGATTCTGTTGGGTTTTTTCAGGTTACCTTGGAGTCAGCCACTTCATTCAGACCTAACTCCTCAATGACCACTTTAATCCGTTCATCTTTTTCATGTTTTGTCATAGTTGTTGGAAGCCGAAGAGCCGCTGAGAACGCTAAGTTTTCTCTCACCGTCAGGGTGCCCAGGACGAGATCATCCTGAAGGGGAAGATGGGATTTCAATGGGACACACTGAGTCTTTTCCAAAAGCATCTCTTTAGTGTAGTTATCTTCATCTATAAAAACAATATAATCGAGGTAAAGTTCCAGCTAATGTTGAACTTGCAACTCTATAAACTTCAGTAATCCACAGACAGCTGCACAGCTGGAGGGAGGCATTTTATCCCCCATCTGCAACCCAGGCAGAGCACAGGTAATTATGATGACTTCTAGACACATCCAGATTGCTTTATATGAAGATTTGACAAAGGCATCTTTAAGGGGAAGGAAAGAAATGAAAGAAGGGCAAATAGGGCCTCAGCAGACCCTTATGGAAATGATACCAAAAGTAGAATTGACACCACTGCCTACAAACCCTCTCCACCTTTCCATTTTATTCCACCTTCAATCTAAGCAGATAATGTGAAAAGCCGGTGTAAATAAATTCAGTTCCTTGAACATGTAAATCCAACTGGTAGCACACAAAACCATAAGCTAAAGCACTTCCCCTATTGAAACAGGGGAAACCTAGAAGGCAGACTCGCCAATACTTACTTGAACCACAAAACCTGAATTACATTTGAAATTGGCAGGTCGAGGGGCTCCATTGATTAAAACATCTCCAGATAATCCATTTGGATCTTTCCTTGCAGCTAAGATATCCAGCAATCTATAAAAAGAAATATATGTTTTGTTTTCCCCCTAACATAGGCCGTATCTCTCAGCTATTCTGAATCCAAATAATGCTCCAGGTAGAAAGTGAACTAGTTAAAAAAGTCTATGGTTTAACTAAAATTGTACAAATTATATGTGTACATATATATATATAAACCATATTAAAAAAATTTTAGTGCATTATAGGTATATATAATAGTAGGATTCATTTTGACATAACTGTATGTTTGTTTCATTTCAATCCTGAGTACTTCCCTTCTCCCTCCTACCCTGATCTCCTTTCTCTACTGTATTCATTTTCCTATTTATTTATTTGTGGTGCTAGGGATTGAACCCAGGGCCTTGTGCATACTAGGCAAGCACTCCACTAACTGAGCTATATAGCAAGCCCCTAATTATTTATTTTTAGTTGGTGCATCATAGTTCATACATACTCATAACATCATTTGGTCAGCTCCATTCCCCAGTTCTTCCCCATTCTTTTCCTTCCTCTCTACCTCTGTACCCCCATCTCTACTGATCTCCATTTTATTTTTGTGACATCCTTTTTTAAATTTATTTTTTTTCCTCTCTAGCTTCTGCATATGAGAGGATATATTCAACCCTTGCTATTTGGAGTTTGGTTTAGTTCACTTAGCATGATGTTCTCTAGACCCATCAATTTACTTGCAAATGACATAATTTCATTATTCTATATGACTGAGTAGAAATCTCAATATCTCTCTCTGTGTATGTATACATATGTATATATACATGCATTAAATATACATATGTATATACACTTATGTATATTTAAATTTTCACCTTCTTTTACATTTTATGCTAAAAGAAAGCTCCAAAATGTACAAGCAAGGTAACATCAGCTTATCCATCAAAGACCTTCCAAATGAACTTCCTGGCTGTCTGACCTTGATGGATCCAACCCACATTCCTTTCTCTAAACTCATGTCTTCAATTATTCCTTCTGCTTCATCCCCATTTTTAATATCATTCCCCTCTTCTTCCTCCTCATTAGCTCATCATATAGTAACAGATGCATGTCAATCACACTATCATGCTTAGCAAGGCTGATCTAATAAGACTTCTTGGTCCTTAGAATAAAGCCACAAGCTATCCCAACTGCATGTCAAACCCAGCACCTAGGTACAGATTGGACACACACAGCAAAGTTTCAATCAATCAACACCTGCTTCCATCAAAGTGATTTTTTTTTTAAAGAAAAGCACACTGAAACGACAAAGACTGACTTATACTTTCCATCATACTCACAAAGATTTGCCTCCACCTGTGCATTCCATGATAGCATTAAGGCCAGGTTTCATGGTCCCGCTGCAAAAACAGAAGGATAATGACTTATCGTTCCATTTGAAATAAAATTCTATTAATATGGGGTCTGCACTGAATACATTCAAGGGAGGCTGATGAAATTGCAGACAGAAAACAGACACCAACTTTTAAAGATAAAAAATGAACTGTTGATTAATACAAACCTAATATAAAAGTGATCATTAGTCAGAATTTATATGAAAGAAGGCTCATGTTCCTCTAAATTCTCTTTATTTATTCTTTAAACTGCTTACTGTTTTTGAAAAATGACACATCCAAGATTCAAAGTTGTTAGAACCTGTGGTAGAGCTTAGTGGAAAAATCAGCACTTACCATGCTAGAGTCCCTGGGTTCCATTACCAGCAACAATAACAAAAGTTCCTTGATATAAATTAAAAATTTCTCATTAAACTTCTCCTTTTCACTTTTTTCTCTTAACACAGTGGAAAGTTCATAACAGTTTCTGAGAACGGTTTGATTATTTTTATCATTTAGATGTGATTATGCCCCAAAAGTTCATATGTGAGACAATGTAAGGAGGTTTGGTGGAGAAATAATTGGGTTATAGCCTTAGCATAATCAGTGAATTAATCCCTGGTGGGATTAACTAAGTGGTAACTGGAGACAGGTGGGTGTGGCTGCAGAAAGTGATTCATTGGGGGCATGGCTATGGGGTATATATTTGGTATCTGGAGAGTGGATTCTTCTCCTTTCTGAGCCTGGTGTGAGCTTCTTCCCTCCTCCACATTCTCTTGGCATGATGTTCAGCCTGAGGAATGGAGCCAGCCCTCTATGAACTAAGTCCTCTGAAACCGTGAGCCCTCAAATAAACTTTTCCTTCTCTACAATTGTTCTGATCAGATCTTTTAGTCACAGCAGTGATATCACTATCTTGAAGTCATCTCACTTGGTACCTAGTCAAGTTCTACACAATTGCTCACTAATTTGTACAATATCAGTTGAAGTGTTCTCTCTGCTAAAATCTCCTCAGAGCAAACATCAACTTCTTTAAGTAAAAATGAAAGGCTACAATGAAGCACTCCATAGATAAAGAAAGCATTACCATTTCTTAACCTGAAGACAAGTCTTAACAATTAGAAAAGAAAAAACAGCAGAAGGAAAGAAAGAAAGAAAGAAAATATGCACACCTTCAAGATAGATCATTTCCTTCCTTCTTAGTGCCCAGTAAGAGGACTGGAAAATGGTCAGTTTAAAACAGGGAGCCATCAGAATAGACACCAATATTTTCCAAAAGAGTTAAAGAGTTAAGTGGGTGTGTGAGAGTGCTGAATATTCAGATAAAGTAGGAAGGAGGAAAAGAAATTACAGCAGGGCCACCACAGGTACCCGGACAGGTAAAACAAAGGCCTCACTTAGCCTTTTCAGAACCCTGGGGTGTATGCCTAGTTCCTCTTAAGAATTTGGAAGCAGGTCAACATGTATTTCGCAGAGCAAACAGTATCTATTACAAGTTCAAGATCAAAGAAACAGCTATTATTTCTCAGATAATGAATCCACAGAGGTCCATCCTCTGTCACAGCTGTCTTGAGGGATGAACGTCTCAGCACAACTGCCCCACAGTGCCCACATTCACAAGGAACTTGGCATTCACTGCCTGTGACACCTGATCTGTCACAATTATAGTGGGGTTGCTGGGGACAGAAATGAAAGACACTTTTCCTTTTGCTCATTTAAGTGAGGAACCTCTCCGTGAATCATCAAAGGAAAGAAATGAGAATTCCCTAAAGCTGGAGCAAGCTGTAATACAAAAATCCCTTGTTGTTTTTGTGAAATTTCCCCTCCCGAAGTAAAACATATTAATGACTAGATAAACTTTCAAGGTGCATTTCTATATAGCGCTCCATGTATCTTCTTTATTAATAGATACCTACTATCTTCTTCTGAAATGACCATGAAAAAGCTTATCATTTACTAAGGCTTCACTACCAGAGAACTTTTCCATGTTTTTCAATACCAACTCAGATAAGGACCATCAATTCGGAATTGTTCAACCACAATTGGATCATGAATGTGTTAAAACAAAGAATGTTACAGGTCCCCAAGTTTGGCTTCCTTTGACAGTAAACTTTAGCATTACAGAAGACAGAGGTAATGTATGATCACAAGTGCAAGAGTTCCAATGTGGGCCAGTGGCTAACTCAACATCCATCCATTCAACACAATTATTAAGAATTTACTTTGTACATATAAGACGCTATTCTAGGATATTGGATAGAAGTAGGAACAAAGAAACAGATAAACAAATGGAAAAATGAAGTCCTAGCCCTCCTGGAGTTTGCATTGTAGTCCAGGGTCAGCACACCACAGTGGCCACCAGATCTGTCTTCATAAACTGTGTGACTGGGACAGAGTCATGATCATTGGGCTACATAATGCCTATAACTGCTTTCATTCTACAGACTTTAGTTCCAACAGAGATATATGGCACAAAGTGTTGACAATATTTACTATCTGACCCTTCAAGGGAAGAGTTTGCTCCTCTGTTCTAATCTATTTTCAACAATTTCCTGGTCTCCCCACTCTTTACCCACCTATCATCACTCAAAAAGCCATTTCCAACTAGATGCAGTGGTGCTGTCTTGTAATCCCAGGTACTAGGGAGGCTGAGGTAAGCAGATCAAAAATTCGAGGGCAGCTGGGAAACTTAGAAAGACCCTGTCCCAAACAACAATGACACAAATTAATATGGTGAGATGTAGCTTGGTGGTAGAGCAATGGCCTAGCATCTTCAAGGCACTGGGTTTGACCCTCAGTACCAAATTAGAAAAACAAACAACAATTACCCACTCCTATTTATTGCTTTATTACATTTGTGTCCACTAGTTTTCCTTGTTATAGTATAGAACCTTGCCAACAAGAAGTGTGACATACTGGTACCACTTCCCTCTTCTTCTCTTCCCCACATTATGCAACACACTGAATACTGAACACTTAAAGTGTGAAATGAAACTTACCCAGAGAATTTCCATCTTATCTCTTACATGTTAGTGTATAAGTGAATTTTTGGTCTTGTTTAAGGAAAAGTCATGTCAATACCATTCCTGGAGCAGGCATGCCTCCTTACACACATGCACACACAACACACTCATTTTCTCAAATTCCATGAGCCCAGAACCTTTGATTTAGGGTTGGGCACTGACTTTGCATCTTTTAATACTTCTATTACAACCAGAAAGATATAAGGAAAATGCTCTACTTTTATAAATTAATTAAACTATAAAATTGCAGTGAACTGAGAATGAATCTGTATAACTAGCCATTTTGCACAATGCTAGGCACCTAGTAGGCATTCACAATTTGTTGAATAAATGAATTATTAAATTTTGTATGTAGGGATTACTTTAAACAAGAATAATTATTTGATAAAAAATAAAACTCAAGGAGTAGGAAACAAACCAATTGAGATATACATTTTTTTCCATTTTTATATGATAGGTTTTTTTTGTTTGTTTGTTTCTTTTTTTTTATTGATTGTTCAAAACCTTACAGAGCTCTTGACATATCATATTTCAAACATTAGTTTCAAGTGAGTTATAAACTCCCATTTTTACCCCAAATACAGATTGCAGAATCACATTGGTTACACATTCACATTTTTACATAGTGCCAAACTAGTGACTGTTGTATTCTGCTACCTTTCCTATCCTCTACTATCACCCTCCCCCCATCTTCTCTTTCTATCCCATCTACTGTAATTCATTTCTCTCCTTGTTTTTTCTTCCAATTCCCCTCACAACCTCTTTTATGTATTTTTTTATAACAATGAGGGTCTCTTTCCATTTCCATGCAATTCCCCTTTTCTCTCTCTTTCCCTCCCATCTCGTGCCTCTGTTTAATGTCAATCTTTTCTTCCTGCTCTTCCTCCCTGCTCTATTCTTAGTTGCTCTCATTATATCAAAGAAGACATTTGGTATTTGTTTTTTAGGGATTGGCTAGCTTCACTAAGCATAATCTGCTCTAGTGCCATCCATTTCCCTGCAAATTCCATGATTTTGTTATTTTTTAGTGCTGCGTAATACTCCATGGTGTATAAATGCCACATTTTTAAATCCATTCATCCATTGAAGGGCATCTGGGTTGATTCCACAGTCTAGCTATTGTGAATTGTGCTGCTGTGAACATCGATGTGGCAGTATCCCTGTAGTACGCTCTTTTAAGGTCTTCAGGGAATAGACCAAGAAGGGCAATAACTGGGTCAAATGGTGGTTCCATTCCTAGCTTTCCCAGGAATCTCCATACTGCTTTCCAAATTGGCCGAACCAATTTGCAGTCCCACCAGCAATGTACAAGAGTACCCTTTTCCCCACATCCTCGCCAACACTTGTTATTGTTTGACTTCATAATGGCTGCCAATCTTACTGGAGTGAGATGGTATCTTAGGGTAGTTTTGATTTGCATTTCTCTGACTGCTAAAGATGGTGAGTATTTTTTCATGTATTTGTTGATTGATTGTATGTCCTCCTCCTCCTTCCTTGAATTCTACCTGCTTACTCTCATTCTCTTTAGTGACTTCTTCCCATCCCTTCTAATACCTTTCCTCCCAAGCATCAAATATATTTATAGGAGTAAACAGTAACTCAGCAGTCAAACAGAACAAGAAACAATATGAACAGCATGAAAAAGCAAGGAAGAAAAGGAGTGCAAACAATGCAGGGCAGCCTAAATATTCAGGAGGATATAGAGTCACCAGAAAAATGGTCTTATAAAGAACTCATGGAACACCTGAGACAGATGGAATGGAACCTCAAAGAGGATACAAGACAGCAAATTCAAGCAGCGAAAGAACACATTGAGAATGAATTACATAAACAGATAAAAGAAGTTAAGCATCTTTATCAGGAGATAGAGATTATAAAAAAGAATCAAACAATAATCTTAGAAATGAAGGAAATTATAAACCAAATTAAAAACTCAAATGAGAGTATCATTAATAGAGTGGAGCAAGTAGAAGCCAGAACGTCAGATAATGAAGACCAAATATA